AGGAGCTCTGGTAGCATAGTGCCTAAGGCACTTGACTGCTAACCAGAAGGCTGGCGGTTCAAACCCACCAGCCACTCCTCGGAAGGAAGGTTGGACATTCCTACTTCCGTAGTGATACTGTCTCGGAAATCCAAGGAGGGGTCGCTATGAGTCGGGGCCGACTCGATGGCAAATAACAACAACAACATAAATTGTAGAACTCTACAGTTGAAAGAATTTGGTAATTCATGAGATGAAACCAGACTTGAAACTTGGAAAAACCAGCTGCCATCAAGTTAACTCCAACTCATAGCAACCCCATGTGCTTCAGGGTAGAAGTGTACTCCACTGGTTTTCATGGCTGTGACCTTTCATAAGAAGGTCACATGACCTTTCTTCCCAGCTGCCTCTGGGTGGGCTCAAACTGCCAACCTTTTGATTAGTAACCAAGTGCTTAACGATTTATGCCATCCAATGACTCCTGGAAAGTCATACTGAGTATTAAAATGGTTTATTAATCTGTAAAAATGGTTTGAAACAACATCTGTTTAGAAAACACAGGGTTGTCCTTATATTATGATATAGTCTTCTGAGATGTTGGCATTGCTTCTTAGGGATTTTCTTGAGGGTATATTACTGAGATGTAAGCTAACATAGAGACTATGTAATTTCAATATTTACTATTGAAATAAGTCACTCTAATTGTATTACATAAACCTTACAGTTTTACTAATAAGCTATTTTCTGTTAAATGTTCACAAGTAATACTATGCTATTCTACATATTTCTTTTCAAAATGCTGTTGCATTCTGAAATGCAAGTTATCTATCACATGGTATCTGTAAGCTATCCTGTAATATCAGCGCTTGTGTTTTCTACTAAAGAGTTATAGAGCACTTTTTCTCCCTGTAACTATAATTTTTAGTAAATTTTACCTTATAGTTTATGATTGTGTTTTATGCTAGAATTGGTGGAAGAATACAGAGTGACAGTGAAAGAAAGCTACTGTATATTTGAAGATTTGGAACCTGACCGAAGTTACCAAGTGTGGGTAATGGCTGTGAACTTCACTGGATGTAGCCTTCCCAGTGAAAGGGCTATTTTTAGGACAGGTAAGGGGGTGTTAGGTGACAATACTCAATTTTTCAGACTGTTGAGATCAACCAATAAGCGTTATTAAGCACCTATCATGCACCAGGAGCTCTGGTGGCTTAGTACCTAAGGCATTTGACTGCTAACCAGAAGGCTGGTGGTTCAAACCCACCAGCCACTCCTTGGAAGGAAGGTTGGGCAATCTACTTCCGTGGTGATACTGCCTCAGAAATCCAAGGAGGGGTCGCTATGAGTTGGATCCGACTTGATGGCAGTGAGTTTGTTTGTTTGTTTGAAATCATGTGCTGGTTTCTGGGACTACAACAATGAATAAGACTGGGTTCCTATTCTTAAGAAGCTCATAGTCAAGTGGGGGAGACAGACAAACACAAGATCATGGAAAATGTGTGCTAAGGGCAGTGATCCAAATATGCACAGGTTGTTATGAGAGCACTACAGAGGAACACTCAAGACAGCCTGGGGCAGAGGCATGATTAGGGATGGCTTTCTAGAACTGATGTCTGAAAGAAGACATGTGAGCAGAGTTATGGACAGAAGAAATAGCACAGAGTGTGCAAGTAGTATCTGGTAGTATTTCTTTGACTTAAAAACAAAGAGAAGAAAGATAAGAGATGAGAATGGCTAGAGAGTAGAGGCCATGTATGTTACGATGTTGTTGTTGTTGTGATGGCCGTCGAGTTGGCCCTGACTCATAGCAACCCCTCCTTGGGTTCCCGAGGTGGTATCACTACAGAAGTAGATTGCCCAACCTTCCTTCCGAGGGTGGCTGGTGGGTTTGAACCACCAGCCTTCTGGTTAGCAGTCAAATGCCTTAGGCACTATGCTACCAGAGATCCTGTATGTTATGAAAGGAAACTCAAAAATTCAAAACAACCAAACCAATTGCCTCAAGTTGATATTGGCTTATGGTGCCCCAATGTGTGCTGAGTAGAACTGCTCCCTAAAGTTTACAAGGCTGTGATCCTTTGGAAATAGATCACCAGGTCTTTCTTAAAAGGTGCCTCTGCTGAATGATCAGGTATGTCTAGGCAAAAGGGAATACACCCATGACCATATATAAGTTTGGCAGATGATATTTCTCTACATATGTATTTGTATGTACCATAAGAATGTCCATGTATATAATAGAACTAACGGGGGCAAAGTTATGATAACTACTTAGCCACGGACAACCACTATGAGGGAGTGAGTTGTTGGGCCCAACTGTTCAGGACCTTGGTCATGGGTGAAATCAAGCTCAGTTGGCATAAAATACTACACAAAAACATTGTTCTGCATCCTACTTTGGTAAGTAGCAACAAGGGTCTTAAAAGCTTGCAAGTGACCATCTAGGACACAACAATTGTTTTCTCCTCATCTGAAGCAAAGAAGAAAGAAGAAAACCAAAGACACGTGGAAACAATTAGTCCAAGGGACTAGTGAACCATGCAAACTTGAGCCCAGATGACCTTGAGACCAGAAGAACTAGATGGTGTGCAGCTATCACTGTCAACCATTTGGAAAGGGATCAGGAAATCCTGGATAGTGAGGGAGACAAATGTGCATCAAAACTCAAAATCATAAAAAAGACAAGGCTTACTGGTCTGATAGAGACTAGCGGAAACCCCCGAGAGTATGGCCTCTTAGTCACCCCTTGGGCCTGGAATTGAATTCACTCTCATGGCTTCCAGCCAAACAGGTGTATAAGGTGTACATTTACACCAGGTAAGTACACTCCTTCGAATAATCAACCATGGGAGATTAGAAGACCAGTATTTGCACAGGGAGATACCTTAGAAGGCAGGAATGCATAGGAAAGAAGGGCACAAGGAAAAGTTCACCACAGGGAGGAAGTGGGAAGAGAGCTGTTACATTATGGGGATTGCAATCAGTGTCATGAAATAAAATGTGTAATGAACTGTTGTATGAAAGATGAACTTGCTCTGTAAACTTTCTTCCAAATCATAATTAAAAAAAAAAAATGTGCCTCTGAAAGAGTTTGAATTGTCAACTTTTCAGATAGTAGTTGAGTGCTTAACCATTTGCACCACCCAAGGACTCCTAAGGTAAGAAGCTCAGGTTTCATTCTATGGGTTGTGGAAGTCCCCAAAAGATTTTCAACAATGGTATTCAACTGTAGATGTAATCTTTTCACAGGTGTCGGAAGCAAAAGGTCTAGCATAAGCCCAGGCTGTGTTGCCTTTTAGATAATTGCAGCTGCCTCAAGGGAAGAAATGACTTACTCCTACCATTTGTCCTTTCTTTCCTTCCTTTCCCTCTTTCTAAACATATTTATTGAGCACCTGCTAAGGGCAAGATCATTGCTACCTTTTGGATAAAAGGTAGAGGGATAAGAATCCTTATTTTTATTTGTTGTATATGTATAAAGAAACTCTGGTAAGATACAGAGAAAGCTAATATTACAGACTATCTGGGGATGGGTAACGATTGGGCAGTGTGGAAGGCAGGGGTGGAAGGGAGACTTTACACAAATTTTTATACCTTTGGGATTTTTAGCCCAGAGTGTATTCTAATTAAAAACTAAATTAAAATCATCCTCAGTCATCCATCCCAGGGTACCAGGGAGGTAGAGCTGGCATTGCTTCACCAGCCATTGACTTGGTTCTCTCTCTGCAGCACCCTCCACCCCTGTAATCCGCTCTGAGGACTGCACTGTTTGTTGGAACACAGCCACCATCCGATGGCGGGCGGCCAACCCAGAGGCCACAGAGACTTACACTCTGGAGTACTGCAGACAGCACTCTCCTGAGGGTGAAGGTCTCAGGTAAAGACCCACTGGGAGGCCCCACTCAGAGCCAGGTGGCTGGAGGGAGCCAGGTGGTCACAGGAACTAGGAAGTAAGCTCAGGGCCCTAAACTAACCTCTGAGCCTATGTTCACAGAGGGAGAAAGAATAGCTTTGTAAAATGCTGCTGAACTAGTCAAGCTGTTGACTTGATTTGCAACTCCAAAACTATTCATCAATGAACTCTAAGTGTATAATAAAAACACATGCTGTAATGCAGAATAATACCTCCCTTGAAAGAAAGATGCATGCAAATGTTAATAAGATTGAACATTCTTTGAGGTATATTTAACATGAGATAGAATTTATGCATATTTTTATACACTTTTTACTAGTTATATCAGAATATGTACCACCTTGTGAATAATTTGAATCTGAATATCTCCTTGATGCACTGGTGATATAAAGGTGCTAATTACACATATATTATTTCAAAGACATACCCATTTCTCCAAGAGTATGAAGAATTTGCAGAGACTCTTATAGGAAAAAAGAAATGGGAAACTCCTTCACTAAAATTATGACACTAAAATTTGTCAGTAAAGGGCAGTCACCCAGTGCACATTTGCAAAGGTTAACTGATCCTCTGTGATAGTGTTTTCTGAATCTCTAGCTTTGGTGGCATAGTGCCTAAGGCATTTGGCCGCTAACCAGAAGGCTGGTGGTTCAAACCCACTAGCCACTCCTCCAAAGGAAGGTTGGGCAATCTACTTCTGTAGAGATACTGCCTTGGAAACCCAAGGAGGGGTCACTATGAGTCGGATTTGACTTGATGGCAGCTAGTTTGGTTAGACTTATGCTAATAAAGCAACTTCAGGTTCCACAATATCCAGAACACTATGATTGATATTCAGATTTTGATGGAGACATTTTTAGCTTTTTTTTTTTTTAAACCAAGTTTACTGAGTGAGATAAACTGTTTTGGTAGGTTATGGAATTTAGTAATGGCATGAAATTAGATAGCTTTTTAATAAAGTGTATTATTTAAACTCTTGATTATTATCACGACCAATCAACAGCTATTTATTTAGTTAGAATGTAAGGTTTCATATGATTGAGCAATAATTATAGTTTTTTTCAAGTATATGAAGCCAAGCTTCACAAAATAATGATCAAAGGATGAATTTATGCTAAGTGGAATGTGGATGGGTAGGATATAGGAATTTTAGTAGAAATGAAACATAGTAAATATACAAGGTGCAGCATCTTTGTTAATATGCTAACTGCTAAGATGAACTTTGTCCAGAAAAGTGGGAAGGGAAAGGGAAAAAGAGAAAAATAATGGAGTTTTATTGAGCATTTACTATGTCATTGTGGAAGGAGCTCTGGTGGCATAGTGCCTAAGGCTTTGACTGCTAACCAGAAGGCTGGCAGTTCAAACCCACCAGCCACTCCTCAGAAGGAAGGTTGGGCCAATCAACTTCTGTAATGATACTGCCTTGGAAACCCAAGGAGGAGTCGCTATGAGTCAGATCCGACTCCACTGCAGTGAGTTTGGTTTGGTTTGGTAGCCACTGTGGCGTAGTGCCTAAGGCACTTCACTGCTAACCAGGAGGCTGGTGGTTCAAACCTACCAGCCACTCCTCGGAAGGAAGATTGGGCAATCTAGTTTTGTCTGGAAACCCAAGGAGGGGTCGCTATGAGTCGGATCCGACTTGACAGCAGTGAGTGAGAGTGAGAGTGAGTGAGTCATTGTGGTAGAAGCTCTGGTGGTATAGTGCCTAAGGCATTTGACTGCTAACCAGAAGGTTGATGGTTCAAACCCCCAGTCACTCCATGGAAGGAAGACTGGGGAATCTACTTTCATAAAGATTTACCACCTTGGAAACCCAAAGGGGGTCGGTATGCATCAGAATTGACTTGGTGGCAGTGAGTTTGGTTTGGTTTTTGAGTCATTGTGGTTAAGCATTTGGCTGCTAACCAAAAAATTGGTAGTTTTACCTCACCAGCCACTCCACAGAAGAAAGATGAGACACTCTGCTTCCATAAAGATTTGCAGCCTTGGAAACCCAATGGAGGTTGCTTTGAGTCATAATTGAGTCAATGACAGTGAGTTCTGTTTTTTTTTTTTTGGAGTCAGTGTCTTAAGTGCTTTGTGTACCTTGCGTCATTTAATTCTGATATGAACTCTGAGAGAAAACAGACACTTTGAGAAGCTACTTAGCTAGTGAGTTGCAGTCAGGATTGAAACCTGGTTTTGTCGTATTTCAAAACCCAAACTTAAACAAATAAGGTACTGTCAAGTCAGTTTCAACTCATGGTTACCCCATGTATACTAGAGTGAAACCTCCCCCTATATGGTTTTCAATGGCTGTGGCCTTTCAAAAGTATAAACCTTTTGCTAAGTAGCCAAGCACATAACACCCCGGGATACCAAGCTGCTAAGAGCTCTGGCAGCATAGTGCCTAAGGCACTTGACTGCTAACCAGAGGGCTAGCAGTTCAAACCCACCAGCCACTCCTCAGAAGATTGGGCAATCTACTTCCATAGTGATACTGCCTTGGGAACCCAATGACGGTTCACTATGAGTCAGGGCCAACTCGATGGCACATAACAACAACAACATGTCCTGAGTAATGTCACTTAGAACAGCTCTGAAGCTTCTCTGTGAAGAATCCTTGATACTATGAGTATACCCTATCAGAACTGCCCAAGCCCCAGGACAATGTCTCCCACTGTTCTCCAGTATCAGTGAGGAAAACTAAGCTGTCTCTGAGGCAAGATGAGATTGTTAAGGAGGGCTCTTGAATTACTCATCCTTGTTATCTCATCAGTCTCCAGCTGGTGTTTGCATAAGTGTTATCAGCACAGTTGGATGCTTAAATCAGTGGAGATCTGGAAATACTGAGAGCTAGTAGCCACCTCGGAGCTCTGGTAGCATAGTGCCTAAGGCACTTGACTGCTAACCAGAAGGCTGGCGGTTCAAACCCACCAGCCACTCCTCGGAAGGAAGGTTGGGCAATCCTACTTCCGTAGTGATACTGCCTCGGAAACCCAAGGAGGGGTCGCTATGAGTCGGGGCCGACTCGACGGCAAATAACAACAACAACAACAAGTAGCCACCTCACTGAAAGAACTGTATGTTATCCCATAAATGTGGCTACACGGAGATGGGAAAGGGAAATGGCATCCATTGAGGGCAGTCAACATGCCAGACACTGTGCTAAATCTCACTTCTCTCTCTCAATAATCCTATGAAGTAGAAAGTGACCTTCATTAAATGAGACTAGGAAGGTTAAATAATTTGACCAAGATCAGAAAATTATTTAATGATAGAGAGTTTGGAGCCAGGATTCAAACCTAGGTCTATTTTATTCTTTTCATTAGTTTTAAAACTCATGTCATTACACAGACTGAACTGGCAGACGTAAATAGTCTGATGATTAGGAATTATTGTGCATCCTTAGTTTCCTTTTGTCACACAGAAAACAGACATGAGGAGAGCATGCAGACATTCAAAACCATTTTGACTAATATTCTTTTCTTTCCCTGATCATCCTGGGGCCCTCAAAAGTAAATAAATAAGGTCCATTTGATATCAACAATGCATTCCAAGCAAACCTCTTAGTAATGTCAGAGAAACCAATGACAGTTCCATCTGTAGAGGATTGATTGTGGATTCAAGTAAAATGACATCCTGGACATCTTCAATCTTTTCTCTGTTTATCATCACGTTGCTATTGGTTCAGTTGTGAGGATCCAAAAAAACCCAAACTCACTGCCGTTGTATCGGATCCAAATCATAGCGACCCCTCCTTGGGGTCTGAAGAGGTGTCACTATGAAAGTAGATTGCCCAACCTTCCTTCTGAGGAGTGGCTGGTGGGTTTGAACCACCAGCTTTCTGGTTAGCAGTCAAATAGGAGTAGTTTAATCTGTGGGCTGGAATCATTTTCATGAGTCATTCATAAGGAAGGGCATTTACAATCTCATTTATCCATTGATTATGTAACTTTTGCATAGATTCTGGGTCCTATGCAAAGTTGTTGTTGTTGTTGTTAAGTGCCGGCGAGTCGTTTCCGACTCATAGCGACCCCATGCACAGCAGAACGAAACATTGCTCGATCCCGCGCCAGCCCCACAATCCCTGCTATACTTGAGCCCATCATCGCAGCCACCGTATCAATATGCAAAGACCCTATACTAAATCAGATTTAAAAAAAAAATTGATCTGAAGTTCAGTGAAGGAGCTCTGGTGGCATAGAGGATAAAGCATTTGGATACTAACCAAAAATCCAGCAGTTCAAACCCACCTGCTGCTCTGTGGGAAGAAGATGAGGCAATCTACTGCCGTAAAGATTTATAGCCTTGGAAACCCAGTGGGGGTCTCTATAAGTCAGAATCAACTCAATGGCAGTGGGTTAGAGGTCAAAGAGAAGAGGCATCAAAGATTACTTCTTTTTTGAGAAGCCCTCATGGCACAATGGGAGCTCTGGTAGCATAGTGGCTAAGACACTTGCCTGCTAACCAGACGGCTGGCGGTTCAAACCCACCAGCCACTCCTCGGA